AACACTAAAGTGCTTTATGCAAGAATCCACCAAGATTTCACTGACGTATTTCTGTGACGGATATGACGTTGTTAAAAGTTAATTAACAAATGCAAATAAAAAAACAGAAAAAATTACGTTAATTTCGAAGACCAGGGAACCGAACCTATGACTTCTCGGTATAGGACTGCGCCATCGACGCATGGGCGAAATGTCCTTCAGACGCGCCTTACATATCTTCACACTCTTTTGCTCTTTATTTGCGTTCGTCGTTTGTTGGGGCAGTGCCGCCGCCTAGCGACGAAGACAAGTACTTCGTTATGACATTAACCAGCCACGACAGAGGACGTGGCGGCATAGTCTCAGCGTCACGGCGCCTCGATGCCACCATTCGAACGGACGCTGAAATCCGCGCTATCAGAGCTAAAGCCCCTGACACTTCGTAAAGTAGCAACATATGTGACGACATATGTGACCAGATGCCGGCCGGCACGTGGCGCCACGCACTGCATTAATTTTTGTTTACAATCACTCAGCGCGGACTCACTGGTGTACATCGCATCTGTTTTACAGATAAGTACGAGTCCTTCCGTTGCGCTGTGGAATACTTTTCACCCCAGACTGATGTCACTGTCGGTTGCCATGGGCGGCTGTTGTGCCCACTGATGCCAAAACAAACCTATAAGTCAATGCCAAAAATTGGCAGATCCAACGTACTGTGGCAGTCGATGATATGCGAAGCACGAATGAGAAGTGTTGACATGTAGCTTTAAAATGAGCACAACGTTACGAGTTGTAGGTAAATGATGCCGTGCATGACTTCCGTGTCATGATTATCATATTTGCATGTGTCGTTTACCTTCGTCATCTATTCATGTCACGTGATACCAAACTTAGTATATGTGGAGCTAGCGAAACGGCCGCGAGCACGCTGTGAGCGTGGTATGTTGTCATGGTCTTACATGACACGGGCGTCAGGATTTACATGTTTGCACCAGCCATATATTTCGTCATCCATTGAGGTCACGTAACACCGAATTTGGTATATGGAGCTAGCAAAATGGCCGCTAGCGCATCATTAAGGGCCCGGTAAGCTCCAATGTAGCGTTGACGCGCGCGCACACTGGGCACAGTGACGCTACGTTAGCAAAATGCGAACACTCTATAGTCTGACGCCAGGCGCGACCAGCGTCCGTCGGCGTGGCCCGACGGCAACCAGCGTGAAATGCGACATGTCTGCGTATCCCTTTAGTCGTGACGGAGGGACGCCGGACGCACTGAAACACGCATGCGTCAAAGCAACGCAGCGCGGCGCGCGCCAGCGAGTATTTGGCGGGACCGGCACCTGGCGTGGCAACGCCGGCGTGACACAACGAAATGAACGCCGGCCAGCACGCTCACCACGTCATGTCAAATTGTATTGGCACCTTCACTGTGGCATGTCGTCATGTTCTCTCATGGCACGTAACTCATGATTATCACGTTTGCACCAGTCACATATCTTCGCCATCCAATGGCGTCACGTAATACCAAATTTGGCATATGTGAAGCTAACGAAAAGGCCGTGAGCGCATCATTAGTGTGGCATGTAGTCATGTTACATGACACGCATGTCGTGATTATCATGTTTGAATGTGTCATTTACCTATGTAGTTCGTTCGCGTCACGTAATACCGAATTTGGTATATGTGAAGCTAGCGAAACGGCTGCGAGGGCATCATGAGCGCAGCATGTAGTCATGTTGTTACATGACACGCATCTGATGTTTATCATGTTCGCACCAGTATCATACCTTCTTCGTCCATTCACGTCACGTAATACCAAACTTGGTATAAGTGAAGCTAGTGAAACGGCCGCCAGCGCATCATGAGCGTGGCATGTAGTCATGTTGTTAAATGACACACATCTCATGATTATCATGTTTGCACCAGTCACATACCTTCGTCATCTATTCACGTATTGTAATACCAAATGTGACGCAAGCGAAACGGCCGCGAGCGCATCATGAGCGTTGCATGTAGTCGTGTTTACATGACACGCTTGTCATAATTTTTATGTAAGGGTCTGTCGCTTCTGTTTGCCATGCAATCATGCCATACCATACCAGTTTTGCAACATGCCATGTAAACGAAAGCACCGCAGAGCTGCAGGACCATGAAATGTAAATCGTCACATTCATGACATACAAGTCATGATTTCCATGTTATGACTAGTCAAATGTGTTCTTCATACAGCCATATTATGCCATACCAAGTTTGGTGTCGATGCCATTATCAAAACAGCCAGGAGAGCTAAAACTCGTAAGCGGCTAGATAGATACGCACAAAGTCACCGAAGTTCGCTAAGAAGTGCTTCGCATTTAAAATCACTTCGTGGTACCATCCGCCAAGCGCAACGAGTTGTGACAAATTAGGTGGTTACATAGAATCGGAAGTAAGAACTTCAGGCCGACATTTCCGACTAGCCGTTGTGAGGTAAGTTGCGAGTCTCTCAGTGTAAGCGTTCGTCGAGATTCGCGTGATTTGGTACCCGCTCTGACGTGTTAAACATGTAGTAGCTAATTGCGCTGAACTTCGCCATGTTCGTTACGTTTTATTAGCGCATCTGCGCGGTCTGCTTTTCGTGAATACATGGTTACCTTTTCCTGCTTGACGCGATGCGCCGACTAGTTTAGTTCGTGGTATTGGTTTGTGTGCTTAGTGTGTCCGAAGACAGATGATAGAAAATGTAATTGCATAACTTTATGGATTACGCGCCACCGCTCTGCATAAACAAAACTGGATTGTGCTCTCTATTAGTCTTTGTTACGTGCTCGTATTATTTGAGAGCGTTGTGCTTTCTTTGCTCTTCTACGTTGACCTTCTACGTTGAGCTGGAGGATATGAGTGTCGGGTGCGTTCATCACTTAGGGGACCTCCCGTATACATGCCATTTCGCTAGACAGCTTACGTGTATTTCGTGTAAAGATTTATGTATGCGAGCGGAGCTCTCGTTGATGAATTGCTTACGGAGGCACAATATAGTTCATTCATCCACTTCCTCGTTCTTTCGGTGATGTAGTTCATATGTCAGATACGTCATCATGCACCCTTGTGACATATGGTCGGTGCGTCTAAACGCTCAATGAACAACTCCGGCTATTTTTCGATTTCAATGGATCTCAATGAAATACACTGGGTACGTTCATTTGCACGTTTGCACTATTCATGCCTAATTGCAGGCTAGAAAGTTTCACAGATCATTTTTGAATGAATTTTATAGTTTGCCTCTAAACGCTCACCTTGCTTGCCATAATTAAGGGCAACATTGTGTGAGTAGCGTTGATTTGGCAAAGCGGAAGTGATGGAACTGATGCGCCACTGCAGCGTCTGCTTGAATGCTGCAGATTGTGCGGGTTCAGCCGGCGCTTCCTTAGTTGAGCGTGCGATGTCGCTTTCCGTGTTGGTGGGCGTGTGATGGTTGGCAAATGTTGTTGCCTTGTGGGCCACTCACGATTCGCCACACATTCATAACCGATCACAGCAGGCACAAACTTGAACGGCCTGCAGACCATCTGCAATCTGGCGGCGTTATGCACAACCAGGCAGGTTCTGCCAGGATATTACGTCATACGTAGAGCGCACTCTGTTGGGTTTCGGTATTGCAGTTTTTTGCGAATCGAAAATTGTTTTCTAATTTGTTCGCCATTTAAGCTATCGGGAGCGTGACAAGAGTGTCTAAGGAACATAAAAGCACAATTACCCCGACATGGTTAAAAAAAACCACTGGAGTTGGCCTTTAACGGAACAACCACAGCTGTTCAAATATGCCAAACACAAGTGATGTGCGCCTTCTGGCGCATTATTAAGGTTAAAGTTTTACACGTCTCGTCAAACGCTGAAGTTGACTGCCGGCGACATTGTCATCCCGCGAGAACGGCGTCAACGTAAGCTGTTGCTTCCACTGACAGTCATTCTGAATGCCCTCTGCGCATCGTAAGCACTATGTGGCACAACACGGAGCTGTCATGGGCCATCGTTACACTCGTTTAGATAATTCAGGGTTAGACGTCTGGCATAAATTTTCTCAGAGCGCTGTCTGGAAAGCAAGCACCCTATTTGAGAAAGGGCATCTGCTACACCGGAGTAACGCAGATGGCGCCACGTTCGAAAAGAGAGCGAAAAAGAGGAGACAAAAAAAGAGAGCGGAGAAGGAGAGTGTCGCTACTTAACGAAGTTTCAGAAGCCAATTTCGAATGCAATGCAGTGTCTCCGGAAAAATGTATCCAGGTCGCGAGTCGTTGCGTGTTGCTGTGGAGACGATGTTCCACCAAGCGCCAACATTGGGGGCATGGGGGCATCAACATCTACGGGTGCTGTAGCCACTACACACCAATAGACATCTGTCAATTTGCAATGTTTAACTACATTTCTGAAGACAGGCTTCACTTGCGGGTGTAATACCGATTGCTATATCAGAGGGATTAACCATATTTTTTTGCGTGGTGTGCCAACTGCATTATTACTCCCCGCCACGTATCAGCTACCCGTTACAGCTTCACAAGGTCCTGCTTTAACTGCGTCATCCCACGTCCGGGCGACATGTCAGGTTCCATTTTGGAGTCACCCGCGGGGATTATCACATGCTCAGGCGCAGGCTAGCGGCCAATCGATTCTGCGGTAGCCTATGGTATAAAGTTCTAGATAATGAAAACCTCAGGAATTTCTTCCTCCACGTTTATGAACTTCCCAATATAACAAAGTAGTTTGAGCATGGTAATGAATTCGCTAAATCAAGTTTCAAATTTATGTGGCATCTGTAGCGGCAACGTGAGACTCCCGTGTAATCGTCCGATTGTGACGCAGCGCGTATGGGCGTTCTGTCACAGTCTTCTTTACCAAGTGCCCAAGCATAAAACACTAGTGCTTTTTCGTAAATTCATTCGCAAATGGATCTGCTCACAATGAAGACGTTTCGCTACATGCATGAGCTCTTTTTCTGCATGTAGAAAGGAACCATCCGATAGAAGCACGATTACTTACCATAGTTTCCGAAGTTCTGGTAGAAAAGAAAGCCTGGGAAAAGCATACACATTAGTCCCACCATTGCCATGAACATGTCCCACACGTAGTTAGCCAACCAGTAAATTACCGGCGACACACCGGACACGAACTGCATGCGCTTCGACTTGCTCACACGGTCATCCACGGGGAAGAAGATGAAGCTGGCTGTGGCCACTGAAATGCCAGCCGGAAGCAGAAAAAAATTTGTCAGTCTCGAAGATATGATTTCTCCGAGAGTCTCCGCATGGCGTGCATTCTTCAGGCGCCTGGAGGCGATGATTTTGTCGCCCTTTTTGACTGGTCGCAGTACGGCCACTACTTCGCTTTTGGTGTCATTTGTAGCGTTGCGCAGGAGTACCGTAGAAATAGCATTGATGGACAAAGACTGCGAGTGGAACGCGTCGCCATTGAACCAAGCCACAGCCTTTCGCATCGTCGGGTTGTCTTTCGGGGCAGAGAACTCGCCTCCAAACACGTATTTATTCCCGCTCCGTGCTCGTTTTTCCTCGTCCACGAATTTACCTATGTTGGGAATTCTATCTACGGGGATTTCCCGAGACCGGAGGTACTTTTCGTACCCGTCTTCTGCCAACGACTTAGACGCGTCATCGAAGGCGACGAAAACGTTCTCCAATTTGTCCAAGTTGCTGAGGTCATAGATGAAATTGTCGGCAGAAAACTCGACCGCCACCCGTGGTACTGCGATGGTCTCGAGCTCGCCGCGCAGGATGAGGATCACGGTGGGAACGATGAAGCAAAACAACGGCAACGCCAAGGTTTGCCAGGTGTATTGACGACGTTTGATTATCATTGCCACAAACATTTGTCCCCAAGTAGGCTTGGCGGGCTTCAAGTCGTAGACGGCCTTGACGTGCTGTTGAATTTCGAGGGACGACTCGTACTTCTCACCACCGGCGGCAATGCCACCAAGGTCTTCCGTTTCAACGGTAAGGTTGGCCATGCTGTAGTCCACATGGTCATCGGCACCCCTCTTCACGTCAATGCCCATTGCCTTCTCCAAGTTTGTCTTGTACTGGTAGTCACCAGAGTCCATTTCCAGTACAATGCGAAAGAAGATGTCTTCCATCGTAACCACGCTGATTGTGAACGAGTTTATGCCAAACTGGCCCTGCTGAGCCTCAAGTCTACCCAGCACTGTTGCCACGGGAGTGTAGTCAGTGTGTTGTCCAAGACCAATAGAGGCGTACATCTTGTGGTCTTGTAGCACGTGAGCATCCGGAATTGTCTGACGAATGGCTGCCAAGACAGTTCGGCCCCTGAATTGCGTGCCTTTTATAACCTTTACGGTGTATCCCCAGCCATAACGTCTCTGTATGAAAGCTGTGGTGCCGTAGCACTTGTGGGCCGAGTAGCTCAACATGACGAGCCTGTCGGCTCGCGTATCAACTTCGTACACATTTGCCGTGGCTGCGATGATGCACATTGAGCTCTTCAAAGAAATCAACGCGTTCCAAGCTATTGTTCTCGCCGCCGGGTACATTTTCACCATGACTTCATCCATTATTAGAACCTTTGGACAGGTGATGAGTGCGATGGCAAGACTAAGAATTTTCTTCTGAGACCTGTCCAACTTGACGCATAGTACGTTCATGATTGGTTCTAGCTGAAGCATGTCCCTCACTTGAGTCAGCTGCTTGTCTAGCACGGCCCACGCCTCATTTCTCATGGAGCCAAAAAACAGAAGGTGCTCATGAACGGTTAGCTCGGGGAAGAGCACGTCCCGCTGCTGGACGTAGGCGATGCTCTGCCGGGCATAAGCAGTCTGCAACATCATGTCGTAACCAAGAACCATCACTTGCCCCGCGTTTGGAAGAGCGTAGCCGGTAAGAACGTTGCATAGACTGGTTTTACCCGCTCCATTTGGTGCAACGATACCCAAGATCTCACCGTAGTAAGCTTTGAAGTTTGTGTCAGCGCAATATGTGCTTCTGCTTGCGCTCGTACTCAAGCTGGCTCACAGTGACAGCTGCTTCAATCGTCGGGTACTTCTGGAAGTGATAGCCATCCGGTTCTTTTGGTTCGATGATATCCACACTACCCTGGGCGCCAGGCCGCCAGTATTTAAGTGTGAAGGGAAACCAAGGATCCAACGGTACACCGAGTGCCCATGTAAGCACGTTGCCAAAGTACCAAATCATGATGGCGACGAAAACAGTGGTGGCCAGCATCACAATCCATATCTCAACCATCGTGACGTTGTCGAGACCAAGAACTTCTTCGCTCACCATATCAAAGGTGTAGTCTTCGCCTGAAAAGGAAGATGGAGATCTTGAACGTTGTCTATAGTGTTGAAAACATCCCACACTAACATGACACTTCCAAAGCAACATTTTATGCTATATGCTGCATTTGTTTAGGCGGAATAAAACCACTTCCTATACTCTAAACTAATCTATAAATAAAATGTACACGCGTTACTGTACCACTTCTTTCTCGTCATAACGTAATGACATTACAAACGACCTCACCGACTTTGTGATAGGTCATCCCTTAACATCTTCAATCACTTTTGAACACATGCTAGAGCTCAGTAGTTTCATTGTTGTAGTTTCAGTCGCGGTGCCATGGGCTTGATTACCAGAGCCTCAGCCTGCCAGAATTGTCACTCGGCTAACTTCAAAACCAAGGTCACTTCTCTGCCGCTGTATCCCAACCATCCAATGTAATTCAAAGCACGATCCCCACAACGTATCATACCAGTGTCACTCCTATCTATATATATATATATATATATAAAGCATTATCACAACCTACACCACTTCATTATTTTCGACCGCTGATATGGCTATACATTGTGTGCGTTTTCGCAAATACAACACACACTTGTGCATAGCGTTACTTTCTTTACTTTTATGCGCATTGCAACAACAACCATTTAAATTTTATGCTTAATTACATGCTTAGCGTATTGGAGAAAATGAACTGTACAATTTTAAAAATGAGGGTCTATATAACTAGTCAGCGAGGCTACATTTTGCGATTCTACTGCGATTTCGCGATTCAGGTTGCGAGATACCTCGACAGAGCTGCAAGGGCACTGGGCACTCACCGGCGATTACGGCGCAACCGAGAATTCTGAAACACCAGTGAAGTCCTATGCAGGGCAACACCGACGTCAACAGTTTCGACAGACGTCCGGCGATAATGTAGGTGGCGGCATATCCGTCCAGATCCTCCAGCGCGAACCAGGCTGCGAGGTAACCCCCCAGCCAGTAGCACAGCGCGAACACGACCGCCGCTGTGGGGCTCGTAAAGAAGAGCGACAGAAACATCGCCTTGACCATGTACAGCAGGGTGAATACGGTGAAGCTTATGAAGACGACCGTCTTGTCGATTCCCATGAGGTAGGTGATGTGGAAATCGCTGTGCCAGTTTGGCGCAAACAGCATATGGGTGATGTTGCAGAGCACGGCGACCATGCCGATGAAGAAGGAGGCGACGAAATGGCCAAGCCAGTAGACGGCGTTGTTCAGACCTACGAGGCGCAGCTTCTCGCGCATGCCGCTCTGGTTCTCTTCGACAAGACGGGCCACTAGTGTGCAGAAGGGGACCATGTAGCCTAGGCCTGCGCGGAGTGCGGTGAGGCTGTATCCACTCCTGCAATGCAAAGTGAAGAGGGACGAAGGCATAAACGAACTCCGTATGCAAAGCCTGGTAGAAATTAGTGCCACCTCCACACTTAAGAAAAAGGCAGCGTAGAGATATGGAGTCAACACCACAACAACCATATCTGGCAGAGAGCATATACATATTCTGGCTGTCACGGAACAAGAACCTAAGATTTGAAGTGGTCAACCGCAACCGGACGAAACTAACTATATTAGGGGATTTTAGCTTGTACGTATACTTATTAACGTTAACGTGTCATTAGACAGTTCTAGTTTAGCGTTAGCGTGATAGCGTAGGTTAAGGGAAGAGGCAAAGCTGCTGGTGAGGATCAGGTAACATCAGATCTGCTGAAAGATGGAGGACAAACTGTGTTAGAAAAACTAGCCACCCTGTTTACGAGGTGTCTCCTGACGGGAAGGGTACCAGAGTCTTGGAAGAACGCTAACATCATCTTAATACATAAGAAAGGAGGTGACAAGGACTTGAAGAATTACAGGCCGATCAGCTTTCTCTCTGTAGTATACAAGCTATTTACAAAGGTAATTGCTAACAGAGTAAAGAAAACATTAGAATTCAATCAACCAAAGGAACAAGCAGGGTTTCGAACAGGCTACTCAACAATTGACCACATTCATACTATCAATCAGGTAATAGAGAAATGCTCAGAGTATAACCAACCACTATACATAACCTTCACATATTACGAGAAGGCGTTTGATTCAGTAGAAATATCAGCCGTCATGCAGACACTGCGGAATCAGGGCGTAGATGAAGTATATATAAACATTCTGGAAGAAATCTACAGGGGATCAACTGCCACCATAGTGCTTCATAAAGAAAGCAACAGAATACCAATCAAGAAGGGTGTAAGGCAGGGGGACACAATCTCCCCAATGCTATTTACCGCGTGCTTACAGGAGGTTTTCAGAAGCCTAGAATGGGAACAGTTAGGGATAATAGTTAATGGAGAATACCTTAGTAACTTGCGCTTCGCCGATGACATTGCATTGCTGAGTAACTCAGGAGACGAATTGCAACTCATGATTACGGAGTTAGACTAGGAGAGTAGAAAGGTGGGTCTTGAAATTAATCTGCAGAAAACGAAAGTAATGTACAACAACCTCGGAAAGGAGCAGCGCTTTGAGATAGGTAATAGTGCACTTGAAGTTGTAAAAGACTATGTAATAACCAGGGCACGTAATAACCGTAGAGCCTAACCACGAGATTGAAGTAACTAGAAGAATAAGAATGGGGTGGAGCACATTCGGCAAGCACTCTCAAATTATGACAGGTAGATTGCCACTATCCCTCAAGAGGAAGGTATATAACAGCTGTATCTTGCCGGTACTTAGCTACGGAGCAGAAACCTGGAGACTTACAAAGAGGGTTCAGCTTAAATTGAGGACGACGCAGCGAGCAATGCAAAGAAAAATGGTAGGCGTAACCATAAGAGACAAGAAGAAAGCAGAGTGGATTAGGGAACAAACGGGGGTTAAGGATATCATAGCTGAAATCAAGAAGAAGAAATGTACATCAGGCCGGGCATGTAGCGCGTAGACAAGATACCCGCTGGTCGTTAAGGGTAGCTAACTAGATTCCAAGAGAAGGCAAGCGGGTTAGAGGGAGACAGAAGGTTAGGTGGGCAGATGAGATTAAGAAGTTTGCGGGTATAAATTGGCAGCAGCAAGCACAGGGTCGGGTTAACTGGCGGAACATGGGAGAGGCCTTTGTCCTGCAGTGGACGTAGTCAGAATGATGATGATGATGATGATGATGATGATTATGATGATGATGATGATGATGATGATGAAGGGAATGGCAGCTAACGTGCAGCAAACGTTCGTTGTAGGCAGTGTCTTATAGTTTAGCGAAATAGCGCTTACGTGGTTTACGTGCCCCCAAGTGGGTTGGTGGTGCCACCTATTAGATGGTTAATAAGTTAAACAGTGAAAATGAAAAGAAAACTAGAATGTTTGCCTATGCTGCCGCGCGAAGCATTGTTAGAAGTTTATTTTTGTGATAATAAAAGTAAATAAATATGAACCACGTACACGACGCGAAAACATCTACGTTGCCGATTTCTTTACATTGATCTTGTAGTTAGGTCTAGGCGCGTTCGAAATGGGAAGCTATCTCAAAAACTACGCCAACTTATCCGTAATACTCAGTCATCGAAGCTAACTGAAGGCAAGCTAACTGAAGGCACTTTGAACAGTCGTTTGCTGCGAACAAGGTGAATCTTTTAACAACTACGCCAAAATCACTTCGAAGCGGCCGTCCGAGAGCGCCGCCATGTTTACGTATACTACGTGCATCTACGCTACCTTAAATCTGAAAAATACCACGCGTACGGTAAGCGGTACGCGTAACGTACGTATCTGCGCATGCGCACTTCGATTCCAGTATCACGGTACGACCGGTTTGCGTTTACCGCCTTACCGGAACGCATGTTTTTCAACGTTTTAGCTTCCCATACATAAACGTTTACGTTTGTTCGTAAACGTGTACATTTACGTTTTCGGCAAACCATAAATGGTGAAGCTAACTGCATTAAACTGTATATAACTTGAATAGGATTGAATCATCGCCACGGAAAGACCACGAGACGTTTTTTTTTTTTTTCACGTACAGTACCCTTCTATGCACTAAAGAGGGAAAAATCAGCAAGGTCCACTGCAACGATGGCGTCGACATCTTGTGACGCTTCATGCAGCCAGAGTCATGAGTACGTTGACTTACGCATAATGTTTCAAGTGGAAATGACCGAAAATGTGACTCATTCGTAGAAAACGCCGCTGGTCGATTTTTACACCAGGACGTTCCATGCACGATGTTTCTGCAACAACAATTTCGTGATTGCCTGGTTCATTTTGTCCTTACTAGATGACGCCACATTTCCAACGTAAAGCTTATCTAGCGAGTAGTTTACGTTACGTTCCGTAAAAAGCACGCATGCGTAGATTCTAACCAGTAACACAGGTAAGGTGAGAAAGTATGCGTGCAAACTGAAAGCCCTTATTGTGTGCCTATAAGGCACTCGTTAAAGTTCCTTTTATATTTCGCTTAAGTGGCACACTTAAGTATGATAAATTGTAGCATTCACTTTAGGGTCAAGTGCGTTTTTTTACGCTGCAAAAGGCATTACAAGACGACTAAATATTTAACGACGATCTTTAATGATGA